ATTTTCCTACTTGGTGGTTTTAATATGTCTAATCTCTTATGGAAAAATGAACTCATCACAGTGCACCCAAACTCATCTATGGCGCAATACTTCTTAACGCTGTGCAGTACATTTTCTCTTGCACAGTTGATTAAAGAACCAACAAGGATAACACCATTTGTTTCAAATACACTCTATCTTGTATTGACCACGCAACCCGATCTTGTTTCTTATGTAACATACCTGCCTGGAATAAGTGACCATAGCCTTCTCTCGTTTAAAGTTAGCCTTGCACAACCTAAAGCGGTTAAAATGACTAAGACACTACGAGATTACAACAAAGCCGACTTTCTTATCATCAACAATTAACTTGCCGTCTTTCTTGATGATTTCTTGAATGATTTCGACGATCGTGATGTTCAATCGGACTGGAGTATATTTTTTGCTAAGGTTGTGGACACACCTTAGCAAATAAATGCACATAAACTGCATGAAGAAGAACGTGTTGGTTCCCGATTTTGTGGTGTCGATCGATGGCAGACAAACTGGCCTACGGACTGTAAACTGTTCCTCAGAGCCCGTCACACTACCGGATGGTTTGAAATTAGCTTCAGTCAACAGAAATCACGCGACCTTATCAGTGGTTGAGCTCACAGACGTACCGGAAAAACATGCCGGAACTGGTTGTCGCAGTTTGGACGGAGTGCTTATGGCAATGATAAATAGGTAGCTTAGCTAAGCGAGTGCCGAACTTTAATCAATGTGCTGTCGAAGCACGTTTCAATATTTGACTTTGCGCAGAAGGACAAAGTGATCCCTATCCTCATGTCTCGAACGCTTCATACCATCAACACTAGCACGGTAAGTCCGATTCGGCAAAAACTATATCGTGTTTTCCCCTCAGAAAGACAAATTATCAACGACCTAGTGCAGGAAATGATGCAAAAGAAAGTGGTACAAGAGTCGGTCAGCCTGCGGGCAGCACTAGTTATCCTTGTTAAGAAGAAAGATGGATCTTGAAAATCTTGTGTTGACTATTGCCGACTGAATGCCGGGACTAGAAAGGACGTACACCCGCTGCCACATTTAGAGGACTTCCTCCGTGGACTTACGATCCGGCTATTGGCAAATTCCGATGCACCCAGAGGACAAGGAAAAGACTGCCTTTGTTACCCCTGACGGGCTCTTTGAATTCAACGTGATGCCATTTGGACTATGCAATGCTCCGGCAATGTTCGAGAGGTTTATGGACAACATTCTGCGTGGCTTGAAGTGCAGCATCTGCATGTGCTACCTCGACGAGGACGTCATCTTTGGCCGCACGTTCAGTGAACAGAACTCTCGTCTGGATACTGTTTTGAACTGCATCCGAAACGCTGGCCTAGTTTTAAATTCTACGAAATGCCACTTCGGAGACCGCCAGACGCTTGTGCTCGGGCATCTCGTTGACAAGGATGACATCCGTCCTGACCCCCAGAAGAAAGCAGCAGTTGATGCATTCATTGTGCCGCGTTCCGTCAAGGAACTTCGTAGTTTTCCGGGGCTTTGTACCTACTTCCGCCACTTTATTTTGAAGTTTGCCAACGTTGCATATCCTTTCACATGCCTCTTACAAAAGGATATTTCCTTCGTGTGGACTCCGGAGTGCGATTGAATTGAATTGAAGTTTCTGCTGACGTCACGACCCATCCTTCAGCATTTTAGTCCTTCTGCTCCAACAGAGCTTCATACGGATGCTAGCGGCATAGGTATCGAAGCCGTCCTAGTACAACGTTATGGTGACCGTGAACACGTCATCGCATACGCAAGTCGCTCCCTAAGCAGGCCGGAGCGAAATTACACTGTCACGAAACAAGAATGTCTGGCGGTAATATTTGCAATTCAGTGGTTTCGATCTTACCTATACGGACGCCTATTCACAGTCGTCACCGACCACCACTTGTGTTGGCTTGTCAACCTTCGTGACCCTTGTGGCCGCCTTGCGCGGTGGGCACTTCGACTGCAAGAATATAGCTTTACTATCGCTTACAAGAGTGGTCGTCGACTTGCTGATGTGGACTGTCTTTCAAGTATGTCACTTAGCACAACGGACTGTGAAGCCGATGACCTTGACCACCTTGTAGCGTGTTTGTCGCCTACATCCCTGGACTACCCCAGTTTCAAAGCAGAACAGCGGAAAGACGCTAAACTAGCACCACTCTTCGCTACTGCATCCGCTTCCACTACTACACGCCGTTCCTGTATGCGTGATGGACTGTTGCTCAAAAGGAGCCTCTCCAGCAGTGGCGCGCATTTCCTTCTAGTGGTCCCGGAGAGCCTGCGAACAGTTATTACGACTGTAATACACGACAACCCTATATCTGGACATTTAGGTTTGGTGTGGACGCTTCACCGGAGTAAAGAACGCTTTTATTGGCCTGGTATGCAAAAGTCCGTTGGGACTTATGTGGCCAGCTATGCAATGTCAGCGTCACAAACGTTCATCTATTGCTCCAGCTGGTCTTCTGCAGCCGATACCAACTCCAAACGCACCTTTCGAACAAGTGGGGACTGACTTCTTGGGCCCCTTTCCAAAATCGGCTAAGGGCAACCGATGGATGATTGTTTGCGTCAACTACCGCACATGCTACTTCGAGACGGCGGCCGTCCCGTCCGCAACAGCCAGTGACGTCTCGTCGTTCTTGCTACAGTGGTCATCCTCTGTCACAGCCCACCTTGCCTGATTATCAGCGATCGTGGACGACAATTCACAGTGGATGTCGTGGAGGAGCTACTCCGTTTGTGTGAATCCCGCCTGCATCACTCGACATCATACCACCCCCAAACGAATGGGCTGATGGAGCGTACCAACCACACGATTATCAACATGGTGTCTATGTGTGTCTGATCCGACCACAAGAACTGGGATGACGTACTCCCGTTCATTACGTACGCGTTCAACACCGCGAAGCATCAAACTACAGGGTATAGCCTTTTTTTTTTGTTATATGCATGTTCGCCCCGGCACACAATCGACACAATCTTACCTTTCCGTGCTCACGACGTCACTGTCGCCGATACCTTCTGCCTCGCCGAAGAGGCGCGTTGCATAGCTCGCCTATGCACATTGGCATCGCAAGACAAAGCGAAAGCACGCTATGACATTGATCATCGACCTGTGACTTATTGCCGTAGGGATTTGGTGTGATTGTGAACTTCGATGCGCAAGTGCGGGTTATGCCAAAAGTTTTTGGCCACTTACGATGGACCTTTTCTCATTGTTGACAGACTTACAAAGGTCACCTATGTAACAGCTAGCCTCACGGCGAGTGGTCGACGAGCTGCCAAAACTCAAGTGGTTCATGTTGCCCACTTGAAACTGTACACGCCAGGACAACTCGACTGACTCGTCCGGCGGCTTTCGTCTGCGCGGAGGGGAATGTTGCGCACGTGAACGAAGACAACGAAGCATATACGGTGAACGCACTTGTCGCCCCGAATTAAAAAGGAAGAAGAGGATCAGGACGATCTCTAGCCAGTCGGCCGCTTCTGAGCTGCCCCTCACGACCTATTAAACTGCCCCTTTTAACCTCTACCGGTCTCTTTCAAGTGTAACAATATGAAAATGTTCTAGATGCCTTAGAATGACTTGCCTCTACAAATTAATATGTAATCCTTGATGCTTTGTGAATCAATAATTTAGCTTATAACAGTGTGTGTCATGGCAGTTGTGATGAGTGGGCCATTCTAGCAAAGATAGCATGCAATACTTTGAAAGCATCGCCAGAAAAATTTGGCTGTTTCTCTTGTAATACTTCTGCTCTATTCCTGAAAAGTGGTTATGTTAATCCGCTATTGTGGTATTATGGTTATGGTGCTCGACTACCGGCTCTAAGATTGCAGGATTGAATCTCGGCCATGGCGGCTGCATTTTTGATAGAGGCAAAAATGCTTGAGGCCCATTACTTAGATTTTGGCGCATGTGAAGAACCCTAGGTGGTCAAAATTTCCAGAGCACTCCACTGCGGTCCCTAATAATCATGTCGTTGTTTAGGGATGTTGAACTGCGACAATTGGTGAAGTATGCCCTCCATAACACGCCAGACATTAACTAAGCTTGTGTGACTTTAAATGCATTCTGCTGGCAGCCTGGATAGCTTTTCCTGGGGAAGTTTTGAAATTTGATTCGCTGCTAAGTAAAAATTTGAGGACATCATTGGCTTATCAAGTAATGTATTCTTCCGTTTTCAGCTTGTTTTCTCTCTACATGAGAAATGAACATGAATTTTATGTTAATTGCCACTGAGACTTTTATCTAATCATAACAAACAAATGTTTGGTGAGTGCAATTTTCAGCAAGCTTCATTTACAGCCAAAAATCACATCTCAGTGCGTAGATAGATGCTTAGATTGAGGGCCAAGTTACCACTCTCAGGAATGCCATAAATGGTCCTTTGGGTTTAGACAGAGAAACTAGTTTTATGTTTTGGAACCTGTAAATGAAAACCTTAGCGAAGTCATTTGGCTGAAACCAAAGCCCTGACAGCCAAAGTACTGTGTTAGAAGATTTGAGTCCAAGAAATACCTTTTGTAATCTTCACTTAGAAAAGCCATGAATTCTTCTTTGTGGAGGAGATGAAGTTCACTTGTAGGGTACTTTGTCAGATGCAAGAAATTAGTTGAAGATTGCAGGAAATGACATAAGAAGAAGTTTCTTGAAGAAGTTTCCATAATTGAGTGGCTCAGTTCTCGGAATGTATGCAGTGATGCCTCCCCAGAAGCAGATCAAAATCGAGTTGTCAGCAGGCTGCCAAGCCCAACAGAGATCATTTTTAGGCATGCTTCACAAAGTGCAAGTGTGTTGTGGAAATGTGCTAGGATTGCATGCCAATTTAAATTATTACCGTCTCAGGTTCGATAGCTGGCTTTTATGAGCAGATCTTGCTGCCTCACTTTTAGCTTACTGGTGAGGGAGCCTGCAGATATTTTTGTTAATATGTGAAAATTATAACATTGGGATTTGTATGGTTACTTCTTTACAGAGCAGTTACAGCGTGTTGCTGCAGATGATGCCCATCATAGTCTTGGTGGGAATGTCTCTTATGTCCAGCTTCCTGGTACAAGACCCGCCTTACAGCCTCGTCAGAACAGCGTTAGTGATTTGCCCCTTTTTTTCTGCTTGTAACTTGCTTGCTGAATTTTATCATGCCACTATGCTGTCTTTTTTGTCCTGTATAAAAACTGGCCAACCTTGCTTGATGTCTGTAGTGGTTCTGTGTAAATTGTCGCAATACCATGTAAGATATGGGGTTTGTCAAGAGGGCCGCTTCATTATTACTTATTTACATTATATCTTTTGTGTTCAAGATTAAGGAGCTCCACTACATTCCTTATAGTTGAACCACAGCATTAGGTGGCTAGTAATCATTTTGTTTGGGGAATCGATTTAAAGGAAGATGCGACTCGTAAAAAAAAAGTTGCATTAATTTGTAGCCTAAGGCATTGAAATCTTTGCTGTATATATAGGCTTTCATGCTGATTTGAAATACTAAACTAGTTTTATAGTAAGTTTTACAGTTTTCGTTTTATGCCATAACAATGTGTAAAGTATCGCTCTTTTCAGACAAACTTCTTCTGCCACTTAACTTTTATGGTTCTGAGCCATTAATTGCTCATATTGCTCTATATTAACTGTAGAATACAAATAACTATGAAGAAAGTGCATATAAGACATTTTGATTGTCCAGAAAAATTGCAATGCGATAATTCTTAGAATCCTCGGCCTATAATATTTGCTTCGGGTTTGTAATAATTATACAGGTGATATCAAGTTTAAAGGAGATACTTGCATTCTTCACAAGTTTAGGAATGTGCCGGAAAAATATCATCCCGATAGGGCTATCAGAAGTATAAAAAAACTGATTTCCAAACTCGCGAAGTTGTTGAAAAATGGGTCTTCAGAAAAACACATTTTAAAGGTATAAGTGAAAGCTCATTAAGGGGAGGTGCTACTCGAAGACACTTTTTTTTAATATTCACCCTAGAGCAATAAAACTTGAGCTGTTTATGGAACTTTTTATGCAGATTTCAAATGTATAATTAGTTTTCTTGCATGTTACACACTTTTAGCTCTGCAACATGACAAAGTGAAAACCTGAACCCTTTTGCCCCCCTCTTTTCATCCCTAGAAGAACATAAACTTTATTTGTCGAATCCAGACGATTCGAGTCCGGCATTTTTTAGTGGGTCTGGGCACCCACTGCAGATGTGGTTCCGAAACCTTGTCTCGAAGCGGCTTCCTCGGCACGCTGGATGGCCCATAGTTGTGCTGTCAGGTTCGAGCTGAGCAGTGTGGCCTTCCAACGCGAGCAGAGGCTGGCAGTGGAAAAGTGAGACGAATCGGCACTGTTTGAATTGTTCATTAGGCCCTGACACTCCCACAGCATGTGACTAAGGGTGGCTACCTCGCCACATGACGTGCACCTGTTTGTAGTGTATATGTCTGGATACATGGCGTGCATGAGTCTGGGGTTTCTGTATGAATCTGTTTTGTAATTGTCTGAAGTGTACCGCTTGCGTTCTATTTAGCTTTTCGTGAGGGGACGGGTATATGCGTCTTTGTAACTGGTAATGTGTGGTGATGTCGTGAAACCTGGTCATACGATCCTCCCATGCCCAGATGTCTGCAGTTTCCCGCGGGGGCTCGTCGTCCTTAGGCGATGCTTGGTGAGTGAGGCCTCGAGCAACGCGGTGAGCCGCTTTGTTGGGGGAGCTCAGTCCGCTATGTGCCGGGATCCACAACAGGTGCCTTCGGTTATCGAAGTCAACCTCTCCTGAATGTATGGGATGTCGTTGGAGTATGTGAAACGCCTCTTGCGAGATGCGTCCGTTCGCCGTTCGCATAATTGCGAATTGCTGTTTGCGAATCACTAATCACTTATGTGGCATTGGTCTGTGTGAGGGCCAGTGATATAGCCACTTCCTCTGCCGCTTCAGCGAGTGCCGTGTTCACAGTGAGGCTTGTGATGTATTTGCCGCGATGGCCGGTAACTACCACCACGAAACTATTTTTATTGGTATAACGCGCGGCATCAGTGAAAACCGCTTCAGTGTCGTTGGAGTAGCTTTGAGTAATGCGTTGTGTCCTGGCTTTACGCCGTCCTATATGGTATTGAGCGTGCATGTTGCGAGGCAATGGGGGTACGTATACTTGCTCTCGTACCAATCTTGGAATTTCGACTTTGATGCCGTGCTGCGTATGGTACGTGATGCCGAGTTTTTCGAGTAGGTGTCGGCCTGGGCGGGTCTTGGATAGGCGCTCGAGCTGGGAAACTTGTTGCGCCGTCACGAGTTCCTCGAGGTTGTTATGCAACCCTAGCTCTAGGAGTTTGCTGGTGCTAACTCTGGGCGCCAGTCTCAACGCGAACTTGTACGTCTTGCGTATCAGGCCGTTAAGCTTGTCTTTTTCCGCAACTGTCCATTTGTGAAACGGGGCCGTGTACATTAGTTGTGAAATAACAAAGGCTTGTATGAGTCGTATGACGCTGCCTTCGCGCATGCCCGCATGTTTGTTCGTGATGCGTCGGATGAGTTGCATCGTGCTGGTGGCCTTTGCCATTATCTTGCGCAGTGCTTCACTATTGCCACCGTTCTGCTCAATCATCATCCCCAGTACCCGGATCTTCTTTACCATTGGGATTGGTGAGCCGTTTGATGATGTTAGTTTGATTTCTTGTTTTTCTGAAGGTACGTTGTCTTTGGGCGGGCGTCCCTTTTCCACCGGTCTATATAGCAGTAATTCGGATTTTTCGGCCGAGCAGGTGAGTCCCGTGCCTACGAGGTAATGTTCCACGCATTCTATGGCCACCTGTAAGCGATCCGCGATCTCTCCATCACTGCCAGTTGTCGTCCAGATCATAATATCATCCGCTTATAGCGTGTGGTGCAGTCCATCAATTTGATGTAATCGCTCGGGTAAACTCAGCAGGACGAGGTTGAAGAGCATCGGCGAGATCACCGAGCCCTGCGGTGTACCCGAGCTTCCAATGTTGATTTGATTCTATTTGTCCCACTCGCATGCGTGCGGTTCTTCCCGTGAGGAAGTCTCGGACGTAGTTGTACACTCGCATTCCGAGGTTCAATCTGTCTATTTGTCGCAATAAGCCTTCGTGATGAACGTTAACGAAGGCCTTCAGGTCCAGGCCAAGGATGGCTCTAGTTGAGCACCCAGGATTTTCTATGATTTGATGTTTTAGTTGCAGAAAAGCGTCCTGTGTGGAGAGATGTCTTCTGAACCCAATCATTGTGTGTGGTAATAGGTTGTTGTCCTCGAGGTAATCTGTTAGTCTATTGAGGAACGCATGCTCCATCAGTTTACCTACACATGATATTAGGGAGATAGGGCGCAGGTTCTGCAGCTGCAATTTCTTGCTGGGTTTCGGTATAAGTATGATCTGTGCTTCTTTCCATGGCTGGGGTAACTTTCCACGCACCCAACACTCGTTAATATAATCTGCGAGTTTCTCTAGCAATCTGTAATCGAGGTTGCGCAGTGCCCTGTTCGATATTCGATCTAGGCCTGGGGCTGACTTGGTGTTGAGTTTGAGGAGGGCCGTCTTGATTTCGGAAATTGAGAATTCTGCGTCCAGGTAGGCGTTGCCTTCTCCCCTGTAGTCCGGATGTACTTGCGGGGGCGTTTGGGATATGTAATCGAGTTCCGCTTTTCGTAGGAAATCTTGCTCCGTTCCCCCATAAGCGTGTATGATTTTGCATATGCCTTGCCTCTGTGAGGTCTTGGTGTTCGCGGGATCTAGGAGGTACCGCAGTATCTGCCATGTGCGACTCGTAGTGAGCTCGCCATCCATCTGCGCGCATTTCTCTTCCCATTGCTGTTGTTGCAGGTTAAATGCGTGCTTTTCTATTTCTTTGTTGAGCTGTGCTATTCGTTTTCGCAGTCTCCTATTATGTCGTCGTTTCCAACGGCGATGCAGTTGGGTCTTGGCTTGCCACATGTGCAGTAACTGGGTGTCTATTCTATCAAGCCCAGCCGTTGACGGCATCATTTGCGTTGCCCTCTCGATGTCCCGCCGAAGTTGGTCGGTCCATTGCTCAATGTCTTTGTCTTCAATCTGTTGCTTGTCTCGATTTTTTCGTAGTAGTTCCCAATTGGGGATCTTCATTTGGCGACCGGCATTGTGTTCCTGTGGGCCGCCTTCTGCTTCTATAGAGATAATGTAATGGTCACTGCCCAAGTCTTGCATGGTGTTTCTCCAAGCCACCTTTCGTGTATTGCTTGTAAAGGTAAGGTCCGGCGTGGTGTCAGTGCTGACACTGTTGCCCTGCCTAGTTGGTGCCGCTAAGTGAGTGACCAGCTCGAGTCCGGCGAGTTGCGCCATTTCCCACAAATGCCTGCCTTTCGGCTGATTGTGTTTGTAACCCCACGCTGTATGCACCGCGTTGAAGTCGGCTCCAATGAAGAGTTGTTGCCCCTGGGCGATATCGAGTGCTCGCTTGAAGAGGACGTGAAAGCGGTGTTTCCGGCATCTCGGACTTCTATAGACGTTGAGTACAAAGATGCTGTCGAGCATCTTACGCGGTGGAATTAGCTCTACGAGGACGTTTTCAATATCCTTGACTTGGGTGTCGTGTTCGATAACCGTGAGCTCTCGTTTGACCAGTGTGGTGACGTTTGGATTCTCCTCCTTGTCTGTTATAGACTGGTACCTGAGAGTTAGGCGGGGCCGTTTGTTTCCTGCAGTATGATGACATCTGGGCGTTCGTGGATCGTTTTCAGGTATTGCTGTAGGTGCGCTCCTTTGTTTTCGTAACTTCTGCAGTTCCACTGCCATATTGTATGTTTTTGTTGCGAAGAGTGTCTTGCCATGGTTATGTGGTACTACATGTGTGGTGCCGCTTCGCTATGCGACGTCACCAGCGCGCTGTTGGCAGCTTATAATCTGGACAATCTGCGATAAATGCTCTCCAAGCTCTGTTGAATCGTATGCGTGATAGTCGCGGTGATAGTTTCCTCGAGACTGCTCACGCGAGCCTCGAGTGCTGTCACTCGGGTGTGTCGCCTGTTGCTGCGCGCGTACGCTTGGAACGTACTGACCTTTTAAGGGAGATAGCCGACCCGCGTTTAGTATCAGGGCC